AAAAATATAAAAAATCCCAACTCTATAATCAATGAATAAAATCACTCGGATGTTTAAGAATTGTACATCGGTTGAAACCCTCATTCATTCTTGAGGTTTTTGTCGGGATTTCTCCACCAAATTGGATCTTTGCATCGTGTTGAGTGCTTTTGTATAGCGTTGTAGAGAGACCAATGAGCACAGCTACAACAAATCACCACACAGTAAGAAGTAAGAACGACAGGTGTATAGAAAAACCATTACAAAATGACAAGTGTGGGCCCACATAGAGATAGAGCCCCATTGTGTTGTACCTCAAGGGGAATAAAGTTGGCCTTTTAGGCTTCCCGACATTCACACACGGAAGTTCACCCGAATACTGTAATTCGATTTTGCGATAATTCACAAAATAGTCATAAACAGTGACTTCCAAAGTCTCAAATTCACCATTCTCATCTTTCAACTTTTGCCTTAGGGAAAAACTGAAACATAATAACAGTGACAGAGGAATGGAATGAAGCATTACATTCCAAGATCATGTTGGAATCGAATGCATTTTCATGTAATTCTCTTTATTGTAAAACTTAAAACATAATAATAGCTCACTAAAACTTAAATAAGTTGTAGTAAAAACAATATTTTCTTCTTTGTTTAGAAAACAACATTTTGTTTTTAAAGAACAATGTCAATAAAACTACATAAATAAAAAGGGTTGTATTGCAAATTTTCATACCAACCCCTTATGGAATGAACAGAAAATGGAAAGAATCACATCAGTTCAGGAATGGTCCATTCCATTCCATTCCTTCTATGATTACATAACATAAAAAGAAGACATACAGTTGCTCGTTGCAGGGCTTCTCACTCAAACCCGTGATCTTGTACTCAGTATTGGTAGGGCTGGTTTTCACCCTCAGATTCTTCAGTGTGTGCTTTGCCTGGTTTTCACCACACAAACTTTTAGTAACAATTTACAAATTAGACCCTCAGGAAATGACAACATGACGGTTTTTTACCTTTTCCTAGTCAACAGAATAGGGATCTTGCACGTTTTGGTTTGCAATCAGAAAATCAACCACCGGCCCAGGCTGGATGATCATGGTTGTAGACACATCTGATAATCATAAACCATGATTACTCGGATTTCATAACCTTCACTTCAGGGGTAAAAGTGGAAATGAGTAATGAGATATCTACCGATGTTGAGGGATAGACCACCCTAAGATGTGCGGAAACTGGAATGGAATCCCCTGCATCCAAGAACGCCTCCTCAACTTGTTTCCCACTAAGAAGCTACACTGGTAGCTCTTGATTCCACTAGACCTCCCAATGAATAAACCCTAGCATCAAACAGTTCTAATCAGGAATATATTATACATACATATCTATGAAATTAGAATTTGGGGGCTAGGGTTAGGGTTAGGGCTAGCAGCCATGAAATATAGCACACTGATTGTTGCTCAGAACATGTTCATAGTTATGAAGTCTGTAATGGAACTATAAATGGTGAAATGAGATCGAGAGGCGCTTGTTCGACCTTAAGAATGTCAAGGATATCAGTTGCGTCTCTAGGAAGTTGGTCCAGAGCCACTCGTACCTCCTCCTCCGAGTTCTGTACCAGAATATACACACAGGCCATTCACTCGAAATTATGTTTTTGCTCCCGTCGACGGTCACAGAGCGCCGGAATACAATTGTCGTTGGAATGTTATATAAGGATTTTTCAAGGTTTAAGAGTGAGGATGGGGTGAGAGAGATGCAAACGATGATGGTGGATGAAGTGTTGGTCGATAAGGCCTGTACATCATCGTCGTGCAAGGCTAAAAATTCAGTGTGGGTTGGAGGTAGTGGAGGTGGTTATCAGGCAGGGTTTTAGGGATTCGTTTGATCGAAGAGGATTTTAAGAGCTTCAAAAATATGAAAATATCGATCGAAGTCAAAATTATACTTCATAACTAAAAATCGCATATGAGGAACCCACACAATGCTTTTAGGGTTTCTTTTGATCGAAGAGGATTTCACAACATAGGAAGAAGAAGGAGGAGAGTATCAGGGGGGTTTCAATTTTTTGGTATTTCATTCCCCTCTTGGCAATTAAAAAATTAAAGAACACGCGTTGATGAAAAAAATTATAAAACGACAGTTCTACACGACGTACTTTTCTATAAAAGATGCCCTCGGTGTTTTTAATTTTTTTGTTGGACACTAATTTTAGGGCACACATAAATGTATGTCCTCTATGCTTCATATTTTGGAAAAGTAACATCAATTTTTAGGGCATGCACAAATGCGTGTCCTCTATCAGCGCGTGTCATTGATTGCGCGTCGTAAAAGGCTGTTTTTCTAGTAGTGCGTCTTGGAGATGATGTCACATATTGACAGGCTGAGAGTATTGGGTGTCGTTGTCTCGAGGAAGTTGGCGGTTGACTGGGTTCGTCAATCACTTCCTGAGTCATATAGTGAGTTCATTAAGGACTACTATGTGACAGACCATGACATGACCCTTATTGATCTTACCTATTTGCTTGTTGATGCTGAATCAGCAATGATTTGGCGCACTGGAAAAGCAACTTTGATTGGAAGATCTACTCCCTAAACTTCCATGGACATTGACAATGGAAACATTGGAAGTCCAGAAAAGATTTCTCCTTCCAAGGGAAAGGGAAAGGCTAAGTCTGTGATTGTCCCGTGTACCATTCCCAAAGAGTCCATATGTTTCTATTGCCAAGAGAATGGGCATTGGTTGTGAAGCTGCCCTGACTACCTGAAAGATCTGAGAAAAGGTAGAATCTAAAAGTTTGACTCTGCTTCAGGTAAGTCTACTGTCTAACTCAATTAAGTTCCTAATTGTTGATTCATAAAAAGCTGAGTGGGTCAGGCTTGGGAGCCTGGTGAGCATATAGGGTTTTCAACCCACAATAATAATAACTTATTAAGTTCACCAATCAACAATAACCTTGATTACCCATTCCCGTTGTCCTCACTTTACGTCCCTAAACACCTCTCACAAGGGACCTAACCTAAGGAATATCGTCGGGTTGGACACTACTGCTAAGGGGACTCCTCAGCCATACATATCCTAAAGGCAACCATGAGGGGGATTGGAGTACGCCAATGAACATTTAGTTCATCAACACCTACAAGTTGCGAACT